GTGGATTTCAACAGCCTTCAAGAGAATGGGTTTAATCTATCTGAAGAGGTTAAGGCTCAAGGCTGGGAAAAGTATTTTGACCGACTGGTGGGTCCAACATTCCCAATTCTGGTAAAGGAATTTTGGATTCACGTTTCATCTTCAAACCATCAAGTTACGTCTTACATCATGGGGAAGAAGATTGTTATTACTGAGGACCTCATTGCAAGATTAATAGGCTACAGTGGTGGTGGTGGTGTTTGTTGCATTGACATGGCTGAAAGATGCGCTGATGTTGCCCTAATTGCTAGAGAAATCTTCACTCTGGGGCTTCCCTCCAGCAAGATAAGGGATTTAAAAGACCATCACAGAATTTGGGCCAAGATCATTCTAGGATGTATAAACCACAGGAAGCCTACCAGCTCTCCTGACTACATCAATATTGATCAGCAATTTCTGATCTACTTCATCTCTCAGAAGATCAAGGTGAATCTGGCTCATCTTCTGTTTAACCATCTAAGGACCAGTGTTAAGGAAACCAGAGAAGAGGAGCATACAAAAAGGGATTGGATACCCTTAGGAAGACTTGTATCAGATATTCTAACAGAGAATAAGCTGATTGATCATCTTACAGAGGCTCAGGAAATCAGCCCTTTGGAAGCTACTGTTGGCAAACAGCTGAATGCCAAGAATCTGAAGAAAATGAAGTTGATTGAGAACATCAAGAAGGAACCCAACGTCACTCCTTTTGCAGCAATCTCCAGCAGAAGAGTCCCTCTGGATAACTTTCCTCTGTTCTCAGAGATTGATTCTAAACCAGATATAATAGTCAGATATCTGGATGCTTGCAAGGCGGATGGCACAACACCAAATTTAAACATCCAGGATCTGCAGTAAAAGGCTCTAGAAGTTGTGCTGAAGAAAACCAAGAAAAGGAAAGTTGTAGCAGAAGGATCATCTCAGCAGACTCCTAAAAAGAGAGGTAATCCTTCTTCTGTAACTGTTTTAGATTCAATTTCTATATCAACATCTATCCCAATTCCCACTCAATCAGAAAACCCAACACCATAAACTTTTGATGATTTTGACATTGACTTTGACCCATATGAATCATTAACTCTTAGAAGATCTCGCTCCCAACCTCAAAATCCAAATACTGAAGCAACCCAACAAGAACTTGCAAAAGTTCTTTCTGATATAGATACCTATGACCAACAAACTTCTGCTCCCATACCAGAAAATCCAAACCCTGAAACCACAACAAAAGCACAACCAGAAATTCCCCTCTCTCCAGTACCAGAAATCCCACTACCTTCATCTCCTCAACCAGAAATTCATCCACCCTCTCCACAACCTGAACAATCTCACCCAGAAGTTCAAACTTCTGAGGCTCAACCTTCTGAATCCTCTGAACCAGAACCTCTTAACAATCAATCAAACCAGACCGTTGATTCTGATACCACTCCCATTCCTGGAATCACACAACCTCTGGCCATTTGTATGCCCCTTGGTACCATTGTGAATATTCCCCAACTTCCCTCTTCACCAGAATCAACTCCACCAAACTCCCCATCAAGTCCAATAATAATTCCTGACTCTCACACTCCCTCACCAAAGAACAATCCAGAAGACAACATCAAGACTGTCATTAACTTAACAGTCTATGAACGTCTTGCTGCCATAACCCACAAAACAGCTATCCCAAAACCAAAACATCCAGATGTTGGTACCAGCTTATTGACATTTGAAACAGAAGTACAGAAGTGGATCACTTCTCTGAAACAAGCTAGTCTTGAGCTGGTTGATCCTGCTGCATCAGACTACCTTTGGACAAAGTTCAGAAGATGGGTATGCTCTGAAACCTATAAGTTGCAAGAACAGAGCTACGGACAAGCTCAACAGAACTTCAGCAATCTGCTGAAAGAAATTGAAGGTCCAGTTCTGAGCAAGCTGCTTAAGGAAGAAGTTCTCCCTCTGGACAATGCTCCCTGGTCTGAACATCGTCCAGCATCCAAAGTTCAACCTGATACTCAAGAGCAGATGATTCCAGCTGAAGCACTGGGGCAAGAAAAGGATATTGCAGAAAGCTCTGAAAAGCATCCTGTTTCTGAAGATTCTCAAGCTTCATCCCTTGACAGGCAGACTCTAGAAGACCTAAAAAGATCTGATATGCTGATGAAGGAAAGAATGGACAAGCAGGATAACAAAATTGATGCAATCGCGAACATGTTAACCCAGCAACAGGAAACCAACACCCAAATTAAGAGCATGTTGTAGGCCTTGTTCACGCGTCTACCTCCTCCCTCTTAGAATTTTCTTGTTTTTTTTAACATGTTTGTCTGTAATATTTTTACATTGTTTTGAACTTATCATTGCTTCTGGTTTTAATATAAATGCATTTTGACTCTGATTATTTGTTCTTTTTGATAACTGACAAAAAGGGGGAGAAAGAATAATATTTTTCAATAACGGATTACTGAGACATAAGTCTCAAATTCTGATCTATTTAAATTTTTTTTCTCTTCTGAAAAGCTTGAACAGGTACAAAACTCTGAGGAAAGATACAATAAAGTTCTGATGCTCAAAGACTCATGGAATTAAAGGGAAGTAATCAACTCAGGGGGAGTTTTCTCTTCTTAATTCTATACTTTTTATTCTTTATTTTTAATTGAAAAATCTGGTTTTTGTCATCATCAAAAAGGGGGAGATTGTTAGAACATAGTTTGATTCTACAACCATTGATTAGAGTTTTGATGATAACAAAATACAAAGAATAAATAAATTGTAAAGATTTATTTATAGAACAAATATGCTTCTTAAAATTATGTTTTGTATATACAGACGTTCTGATAGAATCAGCATCAGAAGCATCAGAAGATCAGTAATATATCAGCATTAGAAGATCAGTAACATGTGCTACACGCTGAAGCTACCAGATCATACACTGAAGCTTGATGACCAGAATCTACGCATAAACATATACACTCTGACTCTGATCAAAGATCTCTACCAAGTCATCAACACTCAGAAGCGTCATCATAAGTTAAAGTAGAACACTCTGAAGCGCTATCATAAACTAAGAAGACTCTGAAGCGTTACTAAGTATTCAAGACAGAATTAATGCTAACGGCTCTCTTCAAGACAAGATCTTCTCAAATAAGGAAAGTGCATTATTATCATTGAAAGTGCTTTATGGACAACGTATCTTTGCCTTGGCTATTTATACAAGTCTGTGTGAGAAAAGACGCACGTTTACGAAAACGCATGCACACATAATTTGCCAAGCCTCAACACCACGCTCATACAAACCTTTGGCAATTCAGTTTTATTCCAAGCTTAAAATTGTGTAACTATCACAGTTGTGATATACTGTTTTATTAGAAAACGTTAAACACATTCTTGTTCAATTCTTTGTAAGAGATTTCCTTGAGATAAACCGGTCTGTGGTTATACTCAAGAAGGCTTTAACAGTTGTTAAAGTAGACTGTTGTAATCTTTTGAATATAGTGGATTAAGACCTCGTTGGAGAGAGGCGAAATCACCTTGACGGGTGGACTGGAGTAGTTTGAGATCAAACGAACCAGGATAAAAATACAGTGTTGTCTAAGCTTTTAATTTAAGTTTTACAATTCAACCCCCCTTCTTGTGTTTTTCACATCTTCACTGTATAGGTGTGATCCGATGAATCCTCCACCGTCGATCATGCATATCGATACTAGAGTGATTCAGTTTTAGTCGAGATTCACCTGCGACAGTGTTATACCAAAGTTGTAGTACAGAGACTCTCTCAAGAAAATCTCACAAGAAAACTAAAAATTACTAATAAGAATGTGTGTCCTTACTCCATTACTCTTTTGCTATTACTTTTCTTTATGAGTTTTAAATCTTTGTTTCTCCATTTTAGGTGAATACTTGCCCAATACGTAGAAGCAACCTACTGCATTTTTTTATGAGTCACATTGGAAGTTTTTCAGCGAATGAAAGAGTTTATATATCTTCTTTATACAACACTTGTTAAAACTCTACTATTGGGCTATTTGTAATGTTAATAGACAGTTAGAGAGAATCTTTGTTGTAATGTATATTTAATTCAAATTTAAAATGGAATGTTTTTTTCAAAAAAAAAAAGAAGAAATGAGAGCAAAAACTTAAATACTGATTAGGGCAAACGATAAGTAGAGAAGAAGAAGAATAGAGAATACTAACTTGAAGCAGTTGAGGCAGAGGAGGATCAATGCTGCTGGTTAGGGCAAAAGAAGCAGCAAACAAAAATGCGAAAGAGAAATGCATAACACAAACGTCTGAAATAGCTTTTAAACTTTAAAATTCTTTAAGAGCAAAAAAATCTTATCACAACCAAAAAAAACTCAAACAAAAAGTGGGTCAAAACCCGCTTGAGGTCGAGAAGCGCTTCGTTCTCGCAACCCACTATCCTTTCAATCGCACCACGATCTCAAACCCACTATCCTTTCAATCGCACCACGATCTCAAACGCTCCCTATAGCGAAGGGTCGCCACACCGGGAGGGAATCCCGAGATAGCGCCACTCCATAGCTCTACTTATAACTCTAGGGAGACACTTTTTACCATAACTTATCATGAAGCCTCGCACACTCTCAAATGCGACATTGGTAGACATAAAAATCAAATGATGATAACTTGTATAATTGAAATGATAGAAGCAATATCTTATATAGTTGTTGTGTTATTTAGTTATCAAAGAAAGTTTCCATCTCTCATTTTTTATTTTTCTACTACTTACACACATAAAAATCAAAAGACATCCTATTTAACATCAAAATTTTGACAACAGTTACATCCACACCCATTGATAAAGTGAAACACCTAAGAAATAATATAGTGCTTCCAATATTGAACTAATAACATTGATTACACTTTTTGAACTGAAATTCCATATTAGCCAATACACTCAAAACTAAAATGTTGCCTTGGTAATTTTCATAACCACTCATATTTTCAAGTCATGTCCTATTCTGATAAACCATACATCAATCATGTCTTTACATTGTGCGAACCAATTCGAGCGGTAATGTTTCCATTGCAAGCTGAGAAATCAGATTTAGAAAATTGTTAAATGAGCCTTCAGAGTGAAGATTGATTAATGATACGAATGAGGATAAAATGTAGATGCACTTACCCAAAGTCTTGGAGTTCTTGAGTCAGACTTCTTATGCAATTTAGATAGCTCTGATTGAAAGCTTATAACAATTGCAACTTTGAACTCAATTGAAAAGGGACTGCACCAAAATACAAAGAAAAACTAACAAAATGAATCCTTAACATTAAGTATGCAGATGTAAACCGTGTGATTGGAAACAACTTATGACACTAGAAACTTATGAAAATAAAAACAACTTAAGCATATGTTATTATGTCACAAGTCTAAATAAACTCTCCCAAACACCCTCTTAGTGTCAAATATTATAGAGTAATTGTGCAATGTGTGCGTGTTATAACATTTACTCTGAATTACACATTAGACAATAATTATCACGAACAAGACAAGGCACATACCCAGCAAAGATTGTTGGACAGGTCAAAAGTCGAGGAAGTATTACATAGATAGGCATAGTCAAATTGCGACACACATTACCATCTGCTATCTGCTCGATAAAAAAGAGAATAAACAACTTGTTGTAAAGGGTGACATGTTCTTATACAAATCCAGCATCACTTGCCTGAGTTGTTTGAATCAGTGAGGTTTCACTCACAATTTTCTCCCCAAGAAGAATAGATTCAACGCGAAATAATTGGATGTCAATCGACTGAATTGGAACTGCCGACGCTTCAACAGTTAGTTCTCCATTAATAGGACTAGACAAAGAACACTGAGTACAGATTTTTCCTGTCACCCGAAATCCACCTATTCAATAATAACTTTGCATGAGTCACAAACTTTTCTCATAGATGCTTACAAAGAAACAGAATTCTATTCTTTTATATATTTTATAACCAGATTAAGAGAGCATGTGTATTCTTAAAAGGAAAGGAAATTAACACACCGGATTTTAATTCAGGAAGAAGAGGATGTCTTTGAGTGTCTTGGGTAATGTAAAAGATGACCGTCTCTGGAGATATTGGTCTTTGTAGAAGATCGCCTGAAATTTTCCACAAACAGAAGACGTACCGGTGACTATGGTTATCGGTGTTTTACTATACATGAGTTGAATCTCGATTTGATACAAAATTGAAGTCAATGATACAAATTCCTAGTGAATCTCATCTTGAATCCCAATTCGCTATGCTGAATCCCGATTCACCATGTTGAATCTCGATACTTTCTAATGCATCAATGCCTAAAATTTTCTTATACTCTATCTATAGTTGGCAATTTTTCTTTCTCCTTTTAATTTATGAACTGAATCTTGAATTATTTTGAGGTTTGAATATGATATACAAGTAAAACCTTATAATTTTTCTACATTGATTTTACTTACAAAATGTCATATTTTTTTAGCATTTTATCTTAGGATTTATAATAAGATCTAATTCACAATTCCGAAAATAGTTTGTGTGATTCACAATAGAAATCTTGTTTTGATAATCATGATTTAAACACTGAAAGATACATAAAAATAAAGAATAGGAGATAATGGTATTATACCTTTATCACTTTCAATAATGAACTCCGTCGTTGCTGATAAAGACTTATGCAAGTATCCGCGAGATATATCTACAGTCGCTAAATACTATAGACACTATCAATCACCAACCAGCTAAATTATATGAAACTTAAAAAGACAAAAACTAAAGAAATAAATTTAAAAAATTGCTTATGAACTTTTATGTTCAGCGACAATTTAATTAAGGTTTTATATTGACATTATATCAAGTTTAAACTTTTTTTATGAAATAAAAAGAGATAAAAACAAACAATAGTTGGAAAATTAACAAATTCATCATAACAATCAGTTGCACAACATGAACAAAGCATTTTCAAACAATATTCTACCATTTTACCTGGATACTAATATCTGCCCCATGGAAAGTCTCATAAAACTTTTCTAAATTCTCTTCTTGTCTAATATTCAATGAAAACGGTACCTGCCATAAAGATTGCAAAATTTACAATGAACACGAGAATATGTCATACATAAACCAAATACTAAACAGAGGTGTTTGAAAGATATAATACCTAGAATTTGGTGACAAGAGAGATGTGTTATCGAAGTGTGTTAAAAAATAATCGGTGAAGAAAATCCGGGTAAATTGTACAAACTCGTGTAAATATATGACTGAAAAATCTATTAATTCAACACAAGAGAACAACAAGTAAAGCATCGATAAAACTTTGTGTCTAATAGTTGGAAGCTTTTCCAGAATTCAGAAATTGATGGGAATTTCACAGTGTGGTTCTCAATAAGAATCATATATAGTCTATCAGTTTCTTAGCTCAAGATTTTATTCAGATGATTCAGTGATACAAAGATGACAAGTCACCAATAAACTAAAGCTCTCATTTGAGTAGCTCAGTATTTTATGAATATCCAACATAAAATATAATTTGTGCTTTGATATTTATAGGCAATGGCATGCAATTAAATGATTTAATCTTAAGAAATACCAGAAAAAAACATTCTTAAGCAATTACACCATATTAAAATGCTTTAAATAGACACATTCATTGACTATTGATATATCACCTCTGTCATGCCCGAACCGATCTTTCCAGAAGGTTTAACCTCAACGGTCCTCTTCCTGTTTAGAAGACGATCATAAGACATTCTTCAATAACAGAAGTAAGTTGTTTAACAAGCTGAGGAAATAGGGTCCTAAATATCGCAATACTGTCTTGATATGTTTTTTATGAGGCAACATTGCATAATCTTTGGATGAATGACATTCACTAACCGATTTCTTTGTGTAAAGCTAAAAATAATAATTAATCAGTGATTGATTTAATAAGAAAATTATTCAGTGTAAGTAGATTTTACATAGACATCTAATCTACTTTGCCCGTCTGATCACATCATAACAATAGCAAGATTTGTTTATAGTATTGGTATTGCAAAATGGTGACATACAGTTAGATGGATTTGACTCTTCTAAAGAGAGTAGATAGTAATGTGATGCGAAGAAATAGGGGGTCAATATTTCAACACATCTATGATTTATTATACATGTTTATTTAACGTCAACCTTTGATTTGTTTATCAATAGTTGATATTACTCAGCTAAAAAAATTTAGATATAGCTTGGCAAGGAAATGGAAATGAAAGAAAGTCATTCACAAAAGTGAATATTATAACTACCAGAAGAAATAAGAAAATTGAATTAAAAGTAGTTATTCACAATGTAAACAAATTTTCCGAAGACTTCTTAATAACATTTTTCCATCTTACCACGTCATAATAATACTACTTAAGTTATCTTAAATCAGCAGAGCGCCAAGTTTAACAAATCAAAAAAGGATTACAGGGAGAAAGAAAATTAAAAACTAACAAAATCACTCCAGATCCCAATTTTTTGTCCATTACCCAAAAATAGAAATTAATGTATATAAAATCCAAAACTCAAATACCAAATCTATCACTTTTTTCAAAACTTCTAAATCCCACGCCTCCGATTCCAACATAATTCTAGTAAATGGCGGTGCCGGTTTCACCGGTTCTCACACCGTTGTTCAGCTTCTCAAAGATGGATTTCATGTTTCCATCATTGATAATTTTGATAATCTGTTATGGAAGCAGTGGACCGCGTTCGTGAAGTTGCTGGTTTAAAGCTTTCTCATAATTTTGAATTCACACGGGGAGATCTTAGGAATAAAGATGATTTGGAGAAACTCTTCTCAAAAACTAAATTCGACGCTGTGATTCATTTTTGCTGAGTTAAAAGCAGTTGGTGAAAGTGTTGCAAATCCTCGTCATTATTTCGATAATAATCTAGTTGGTACATGGTTTTCTCATCATCTGCAACTGTTAATAGCCAACCTGAAAAGATGCCATGCGTCGAGGATTGAGTTACAAACAATGAACCCTTATGGATGGACGAAGCTTTTCCTTGAAAAAATTGCGCAAGATATTCAGAAAGCTGAGCCAGAATGGAGAATCATTTTACTGAAATACTTCAATCCAGTTAGGGCACACGAAAGTGGTAAACTCGGCGAAGATCCTAGGGGCATCCCAAATAACCTCATGCCTTATATACAACAAGTAGTCTTTGGAAGATTATGTGAGCTCAATGTATATGGTCATGATTATCTTACAAGGGATGGCTCTGCGGTACGGGATTATATCCATGTGATGGACTTAGCAGATGGTCACATTGCTGCCTTGAGAAAGCTTTTCGCAACGGAAAACATAGGTTGTACGACTTACAATTTAGGAACCGGTCGTGGTACATCTATGCTTGAAATGGTTGACGCATTTAATAAAGCTTCTGGCAAGAAAACCACATTGAAATTGTGTCCAAGAAGGCCAGGAAACGCTACCGAGGTTTATGCATCTACAGAGAAAGCCGAGAGAGAACTCGGTTAGAAGGCCAAATATGGTGTAGAGGAGATGTGTAGGGACCAGTGGAATTGGGCAAAGAACAACCCGTGGGGGTTACTCGGGAAAGCCTTGAATCAGCTCGACAAATACACTACTCATTTACTGATATTTTCTATACAAATAGGCCTCCCATTGTTAAAGTGTACTTAAAGCCTGTTTAAGTCAAACTCTAATTCTAATGAGATTCTCTTCTATTTGAAACCAACTTTCAATAACTTTGTTGAATTAGGAGAGACTAATAGACATTTAGGTTAAATCGTGTGTTTTGAAAGCACTACAGAGACTTTATTATATATAGAGAGAGATTACAACTAATTACATGATGATATAATCGATGTGGGACTATTCTACATACAAATATTTTTAACACTATATATATTTACAAATATCAACACTCCCCCTCAAGCTGGAGCATATAAGTCAAATGCACCAAGCTTGCCACATATATAATTAGTTATGGGGCTTCGCTGAGATTTTGTAAACACATCTGCCGATTGATCATTAGAGTTGACAAAGCTTGTGACGGTGTAACCAGATTCAATCTTCTCTCTGACAAAGTGGCAGTCTATCTCAATATGTTTGGTCCTCTCATGGAAGACTGAATTTGAAGCAATGTGCAATGCAGCTTGATTATCACATACAAGTGTCATTGGTCTTGCTTCTTCAATTTTAACTTCTTTGAGCAACTGTTTTAACCAAATGAGTTCACATTTTGTCGTTGCCACGGTCCTATACTCTGCCTCGGCGCTTGATCTTGCAACTACATTTTGTTTCTTAGTTTTCCAGGATATAAGGTTTCCTCCAACAAGTACACAATACCCAGAGGTGGATCGTCTATCAATTGGTGACCCTGCCCAAACAGCACAAAGTATCCAACTATCTGAGTATGTCCTTTATCTTCATACACTAAACCTTTTCCTGAAGCACATTTGATGTATCTCAGAATCCGGATAACAGCATCCATGTGTTCCTGAAAAGGGGAATTTAAGAACTGGCTTACCACACTGATTGCAAAAGAAATGTCTGGAGGAGTGACTGTGAGATAATTCAGCTTTCCAACCAATCTCCTATACCTTCCCGAGTCTGATAGAGACTCCCCCTAATTGGGTAGTAGTTTGACACTTGGATCCATAGGAGTATCAGCTGATTTAGCGTTCAACAAACTGGTTTCTTCCAAAATATCCATAGCATATTTCCGCTGAGAAATCACCAAACCATCTTTAGATTGGACTACCTCAATACCCAAGAAATACTGGAGTTTACCAAGATCTTTTGTCTGAAATTGATTCGAAAGGTGTTGCTTCAATTGGAGTATTCCCAGCTCATCACTACCAGTTATGACAATATCATCTACATACACAATAAGATAAATACACCCTTAGACTAAGTGACGATAAAAGACAGAATGGTCAGCTTCACTACGGCCCATACCAAATTGTTGTACTATAGTGTTGAATCTGCCAAACTAAGCTCTCGGAGATTGCTTAAGACCATAAAGAGACTTGTGTAGCCTACAAACCATATTCGATGACTCCCCCTGAACAACAAACCCAGGTGGTTGCTCCACATATACTTCCTCTTCAAGATCACCATGTAAAAATGCACTTTTAATGTCAAGTTGATGAAAAGGCCAATGTCGAATGGCTGCAATGGCTAGAAGAAGTCTAACAGATGTCATCTTGGCTACAGGCGAGAAGGTATCACTATAATCCAACCCAAAAATCTGAGTGTATCATTTGGCTACAAAGCGAGCTTTAAAACGATCAATCTTATCATCTGGAGCAACCTTCACTGTATAAAGCCAACAACAACCTACTAAAGATTTTCCAGTGGGACCAACCTTCACTGTATAAAGCCAACAACAACCTACTAAAGATTTTCCAGTGGGTAGAGGAACCAGTTCCCAGGTACCACTGCTTTGAAGAGCATACATTTCATCAATCATTGCTTGCCTCCACTCAGGGTGAGATAATGCTTCACCTGGAGATTTATGAATAAAAACAGAAGACAAAGAGGACAAACAAGTATACTGCAAAGGGGAAAGACGATGATAACATAAATCAATATAATGTGGAGAAAGATTCCGTGTTTGACGTATACCTTTGCGAAGGGCAATCGAAAGTCAGACTCAGATTGCAGGACCGAATCCAGTGATGGCGATAGCGTCGGAGGAGAGTCTGCAATGACCTCAGGGACATGTACAACCTCAGGGAGAGGTATGACAGACGTTGGTTGACGACGCTGATATGTTTGAAGTGGGCGAGAAGTGGGGGTGGGGGGGTCAACCGTAGGGGTTTCTCGTGGGACAGGTTCTCTAGAATGATTGGGGATAATGAGAAATGGGACTTCCTTAAGAGGTGTGGGAGTACTTTCCTGGAGGGGTTCCGGAGTGACTTGGGTGGACGCAAAATATGGCACAGACTCGAAGAAGGTAACATCGGCCAATATCAGGTATCATTGCAGAGTGTGTTGGTAGCAACGATAACCTTTTTGGGATCGATGATAACCAAGAAAGACACACTTTAGTGATCGAGTTGATAGTTTATCAAGACCAGAGGAGAGATTATGCACAAAACATGTAGACCCGAAGACTCGAGGAGGAATTGGGTGAAGAGGAGAGTTTGGAAACAGGATTGAATGAGGGATTTTATTAAGGACAGATGAGGACATGCGATTTATGAGGTAACACGTCGTGAGCACAGCATCTCCACAAAATCTGAGCGGGACATTACCATGGAGAAGTAGAGTCCGAGTGGTTTCTACGAGATGTCGGTTTTTGCGTTCGGCTACCCCGTTTTGTTAAGGTGTATGAGGGCAAGATGTTTGGTGCAGAATACCATTGGATGACATAAAAGTTTAAAATTGTTGGGATAAATATTCACGTGCATTGTCACTTCTTAAAGTACGAATGGACAAACCAAATTGGGTTCTTATTTCTCGATAAAATTGTTCAAAAATAGAAAACAATTAATATCAGTTTTTCATTAAAAATAGCCACGTACAACGTGAAAAATCATCAATAAATGTTACAAAATACCTAGACTCAAAAGTAGACACGCTACGCGATGGTCCCCAAACATCGGAGTGAACTAAAATAAAAGGGGACGCAGCCCGTTTATTGACTCGGTCGGAAAAGTGACTACGAGTATGTTTCCCTAACTGACAAGACTCAGTGTAAAGTGGATAATTTAGATAAACTGGACACCAACTTTTGTAGCTTGGGAAGACCTGGATGACCTAACGCGCATGTATAATGAGTGGAGAATCTATGGTGGAGCATGTGGTAGATGACGTAGAGAAGTAGTAGAGGCCTTGAGACTCACATCTGACGCCAATCGTCTGTCCCGAACTCCGATCCTGCAGAATAACATCATTGTTAGTAAAAGTGATAGAACAATTAAGGGAACGAGTTAAACGACTGACTAACAGTAGATTAAATGGGCAATTAGGTACATATAGGACAGAAGTAACAAAGAGAGATGGTAGAATTTGAGCAGTACCGATCCCTTGGGATCAGGTTTGAGAATCATTTGCGGCAGTTATACTCGGTAAGAAACCAGAGGTAGAAAGGGAAGAGAAAAAAAATTTATTACCGGTAACATGATCAGACGCACCAGAGTCGATGAATTAAGGACCAAGAGGAGATGATTGAGAGACGCAAACAGATGAATTACCAGTGTGTGCAATCGAAGTCGTGGAACCAGAGGTCTGGTTAGTCTGACACCACCTGAGAAAATCCTCGTAGCTTGGCGTAGGATTCTGAAGAGAAGGTGAAGTCTGCATAGTGTCTGGGTTATCAATTTGAGCTACATTTACCTGCCGTGGAGGTTTGCCATGCAACTTCCAGCAACGATCGATAGTATGCCCAAGCCGGTTACAATGGTCACACTTAGGACGAGGTTTGGAGTTGGATGACCCTCCTCGAAGGTGATTCTGATTGTTGCCAAGAGATGCAAGAACAACAGTGTCACCTGGTGTTGGAATAGCAATAGATGGAGGAGAAACCGGGCCAAACGCATGAGGTGTAGCCAAGCGCAACAATTGTTCACTAACTGTATCATAGTTAGGAACAATAGTACCTGATAAAATCTGGTTACGAACTGATTCGAGTTCTGATGGTAGTCCTTTAAGTGCCATGACCATGAAATATTTACTCTGTTGTTCGACATGAGCTGTTGCATCTTTTGCGTAAGGCATGAGGGTTGCGTAACTTGCTTTCAAGGCATCAAGCTTACTCAGATAAGTTTGCACATCCATATTTTTCAACTTCAGTGTGTTGAGTTTGTGGATGACACTGTATAGAGAGTGAACGTCGTTGGAAAAGACTTTCTTGGCCTTTTGCCACACCTCATAACAAGTGGAGAATGCTTGGTACTGCGCTTAGAGGTTAGGTCCTATGGAAAACCACAACACAGTACATAGAGAGACATCAGTTTTCTTCCATTTAGCGAGTTTGGCGGCTGCAACGCCACTCAATTGGGTGGTTAGATTCTCTTCATATCCCTGACCGAGAAACCACATCTCGACAGCACGAGCCCATATGTTATAGTTGCCTGATCCGGTTAGTTTTTCACATGGGATAAGCGGAACTTTAGTAAACGAGACAGAATCAGCATTTCCCATGGCTTAAAACACAACAACCGAGGATGTTTGAACTAGAGTACGACTTCCTGTGAGTTGAAAACGGAAATCGAGGGCGGATCTGAAACCGGAGGAGGGAGGCGATTTTCCGGTAAAAAAAATTGTGAACAGTAGCGGCAACGATGAACAGTGGCGGCAGCGGTTAACAGTAGCAACGGCGGTAAACAGTAGCGCCCAAAAAAAATTCTTGTGAACAGTGCGGCAACGGAGGTCGTTAGAAAAAAAAATTTAAAAAAAAGTGAGGCAAACCGGAATGATGACACGGTTTGCAGAAGATAATTTCTCACCGGAAGACAGTGGGTCAACCGGGTAGCGTGCGGTGAAGATTTGTCTCTTAGTAGGCTCTCAATACCATGTTGAATTAGGAGAGACTAATAGACATTCAGGTTAAACCGTGTGTTTTGAAAGCACTACGGAGACTTTATTATATATAGAGAGATTACAACTAATTACATGATATAATTGATGTGGGACTATTCTACATACAAATATTCTTAACACTATATATATTTACAAATATCAACAAACTTAATAAAAATAAATCGCTTAAATGGTCAAAATTTTGAAACTATTTAGGATTTTACAAAAATGTTCTTAATTTAAGTTGTGGCATCAACGGTTTCTAATGTCTCTACAATGCAAACATAATTGAAACCCTAACAGCGGTCTTCAAATGCTATTCATCGCAAATACCAAATATCACGATTTAAAAACCAACATTCAATTACCTAACAAACATAAATTGTTCAAATGACTAAGAAAATTGAAACTTCACATGGTTATACAAACAAATGGGTCAACAATATATCAAAATAAATCATTTTTTCTTCTTCGTTATTACAAAGATATGATTTTGATGGTTGAAACAAATGTAACAAAGACAATAATAACATCAAATTGAAAAAGGTAATGATAAAAGTATGCAATAGTGCAAATAATAATAGTTTTTCTTCATAGAAAACATAAAAAAAATTTGAGTTTTGAGCAAAGGTAAAAGGAAAAAGAGAGAGAGAAAGAAAAGGGAAAACCTCATTTTCTGCAGAGTAGAGTGAAGAGGTGAATGATATGTGAGTGTTGTCTCACTTGTTCTTTTTTTTTGTTCCTTAATCTATTTAAACTACTACTTAAACATATAAAAAAATATAAAAATTACATAACTTGTTCCTTTTTTTTTTGTTCCTTAATCTATTTATACTACTATAACAATTAGAATAACAACCATAGATGGATTTGACTCCTCTAAAGTGAGTAGATAGATAGTAATGTGATGCGAAGAAATAGGGGTTTAATATCTAACATGTCCATGATTTATTATACATGTTTATGTACTATCAACCTTTGGTTTGTTTATCAATAATTGATATTACTCACTTAAAAAAACATTTAGATATGGCTTGGCAACGAAATTGAAATGAAAGAAAATCATTCACAAAAGTGAATATTATAACTAACAGAAGAAATAGGATTCCCAACATAGCAATATTAACTTGATACAGTTTTTATGAGGCAACATTGCATAAATACTGGATGATTAAAAAGTAAGTTATTCACAATGTAAAAAAAAAATTACGAAGACAACTGATAACATCTTTCCACCTTAGCACGTCATATTAATACTACTTAAGATTTGTCTGTAAGACACTGACATATGTTTAGATGGATTTGGTTCTTCTAAAGTAAGGTCAATGCAGTATCGTTTTAAGTTTTTGGAGACCTTGTCCCTGTCTAAGTTAACCACAGTTTAACTATGGGGAAATAAATAGGGGCCCTATTTTGTCATGGTTTAGCCGTGAGAGATATTTTATGAGGCCTTTTTAGCCACAGTTTAACCGTACCAGCCTTACATACCTTCAAAGACGGTCAGAGCAAAGTAGGGAAAAAGAGGGTGAATATTTCGATATCCGGCTTCTATAGAGTACAGTGAGCAACTCAAATATGAATACTTCATGTGCATCATAACAAATCATGAGCTTCTCGAAGTAACATGTCCACGATTTCTTATACATATTTATGCAATATCAACTATTGATGAATGTTCAATCAATGGTCAAAATCATATACACTTCAAATTCTAAACTAAATTGCTCACTTTTGAGAAGCCTGGTCCTAAATTTCTGTTTAGAAATTGCTTATACTATTCATATAAACTTATTGAACTACTAGTAATAATTTTCCCCTACGAATGTACAAAAACAATTATTTAGAGAAGTGATTAGTTGACTTACACAATTGGAATGGGCTTAATAACACCATACAATGACTCAACAACCCCAGCTGATCCTCCACGAACCTTCAATTCAAACCATAATCTCACAAAAATCAGCAAAACAAAACTAAAAATTCTAAAAAATCCAAACTCACAACAACTAACATTCATCCATTATTAAAACCAAATTCAAATACCCTTTTGTCCAAATAGAACAAATATTTGCAAAAGGGAATAATTTGTGGAACTCGAGGAGAGTGAGTGGTACCTGCAAATTGACGGATCCTTTGATAGTAATACGAATTCCATAGTGTGAAATTGAAGACTGTGTTTCTACAATTATTGTTCCTTTCAGCAGTTCCTGAAAATTGAAATCGGCAACAAACTTGTTCAGTATACGTAATACTCATATGTATATGTAGGAATAATTGTGTGTGTGTAGAATGAGAGAGATAGAGAAATGGAATTTACGGAAGGGCGATAGATACGATTTGGATGAGAGAGTTTGAGGTGAACGGACATGGCAACAGCGAGACAGTTACCACTGAGTTTTAAGCTTTGTATGTTTGTTATCAATGGCAGGAAATGAAACTATCATTCATGGAAAAGGGCTTCTTTGCAAATAAAAAAATAAGGGAGGTGCTTTTCTCACCCTTAGAAGGGGTGCTTCACACCCCGAAAAGTCACAATTGTCACTAGAGTCCGAAGATGCATCTTCGAATGCATGTTTATTCACACACTTTTCAATGCAAATTGTTGAGCACTCTATTTTGCCAAAATTTTATCCGGAGATGTATCTCCGTATGCAGATGCGGTTAATCCATAGATGCATCTATGTAAAAATCGTTAATTTAAAATTCATTTAAAATTTAAGGATGTGTCCGGAGATTCATTTTCAGACGCTTTTATTATATATATATATATATATATATATATATATATATATATATATATATATATGCGCCAGACCCTTCTTTCTTCCTCTTTCATTTATGAAAAGTCATTCAAAAATATCATTTGAGTTCTTTTGTTGCAAACCATTTTCAAATCCTATTTGAGGAAGTTACTCACTTCATTCTACTTCATTTGTTGCAAAGTTACTCACTCTATTGAAGCTTCTCATCCACAATTTTGATTTGATAAGTTTCTCTTCTTCTTTTTTTGTGTTTTGAATGATGTTTTAGGTAACTTAAGTTGTTTAAGTTACATTAGATGATAATGCAATCAAAATAAATAGCCTAAATGGACATGCATTGCCATTTTGTTGGAGGTTAAGGCAGTAATGGGGTATGTGTCATGGCTGAAAATCGCGACTTCATTCGGAGATGCATCTACAAATAATGTGTGAACTATTTTCGAAGATGTATCTCCATATGTGTACCTGACTGAATTTTGGTTGAATTTTTTATGTGAAATTTTGGTTTTAACGCATGTATAATGGCTGAAAACAATCCTTGACGAATTAAGCTCGGTCGTGTGTTCCAAACCGTGTTTGTACGATGTGATAGAGTCACAGCAAGGACCACGATGCCACAAGTCAATGATAACTCGTTTGATGGTTCACAATGTCGTGTCTCACAGCCATCTAATTCTACTCCTCGTAGTCGCCTATCTCAGACCTCAACTTTATGGGTCTATGTGTCCCCATATGATGAAGCACCTGAAGTCCCTGAAGCCTAAGATAAACCTACTACTAATTCCCCTGTACAAAGTAATTCAGGAGGCCCATTTGAAACCTCCTTATTTCATCTCCATGGAGACCATGCTGTTAGGCATGTTTGGGAAGGAGAGGTATACTTATGTTGATGTGCTTTACCTTAAATACTTCATCAACTTGACGATAATTCATGAGTATAGTTAGGGAGCCGCCTATTTGGTCTACTTATACTCGAAGTTGGACAAGGATTGTCTTTGGAAGACAAAACAGATGACAAGAAGCTACACGCTGCTTACGATAATTTACTGTTACTAATATTTTCATAATTATTTTGTTTTACTTATTATTAATATTTTATATGAACCATTTTCAGGGAGGATCCTCTCTCACTTTCCTCGCATAACTGGGTGGAACTTGTGCCTACTTACATTAAGGATTGGCCATGTGCTTCCACTTTTGCGCCATATAGAGGGAATCGGGTGATCGAGTCATTCCAAGTGTATCTTGATCGTCATGTAGCAGATGACATTACCTTTTGCATATACAACAATCACTATTAGATGTGCCAGTTGAACCTCATCTCGTTATACTTTGGATAGTTGGCATGTGGGTCAAGTTTGATGTATCATTATCTGCCCAATCGAGTGATGCATCGGTTTGGGTACTTATAGATTATTCCAGAACACCCCTTAGAGTCAACTGCTCTCATCGTCCGTTGTAGAGATCTTGATGTGATACTTGAGGATTTCTAGAGACACTTGGTACTAGAGGATTATTTCAGGGTGTCATCTCCGGTACAATGAGCTTATGTTGACGGCTACATGATATGGTTCTATAGGGTGTCATACCATATGATGACACCATGCGCTCTTGAAAGACCACATAGACCATATAATCAGGAGGTACTTGATGCTAGGGATGACCACACCCAAGACGTAAGCAGTGTTTATCAGTGAATTGTAGATATGGTGAGATCGTGCATAAAGGATAAACTTTTTGAGGAAGACAGTCACTAGTTGACCCTCGTAGAAGACATTAATGTCGCGGAACATAATGCCTTGTAGTACAAGAGGAGAAGCTGAGGGGTTAGACATACACATTGGTTTTTGTTTGGTTGTATTGTTTTTTTGTATTTTTGGAACAACTTATGTATGGTCGGTATATTTTGATTTTACTTTAGTTAATGTGTGATTTTTTTAATGTATGTGTAGCATGTTCGAATCAATTGGTACATCTCTTTTTTAATTTATGGTCTAAAATGACGTAAAAATAAGTTGATATGAAAAATGTCAATGTTGCTGTCTTGAAAGCATTTAGAGGTTTTTTAGAGATGCATCTCAGAAATATCCACTGAATAAACCTTTAAATGACTTCAGGGATATTTCAGAGATGCATATATGGAAATTCTCTTAAAAATTGCAAATATACATCTCTGAATCAGATTTTGGCAAAAACGAGGTGTCTCTCTGAAATATGAGGGCTTGTGTGCTTTAAGGTGTGTTCGAAGATGCATCTCCAAACACAAAAAAGATATTTTTAGATTTTCAAAAGTGTGAGACGCATTTCATAAGATGAAAATAGCATTTCCCAAAAATAAAATGACAAATCAAGAGTTCCAATATAACAAAAAACACAATTTTTTAAAGGATTTTTTGTCCTAAATATTAAAAGATTTTTAGATCAAAATATAAGAAGAATAAAAAAATCACAATTTAAAAAAAACATAATTTTTAATGTTTCTTTACTCCTTGAATGTCATTTTATTTTTAATTATGGTTTTCACTTTATTGAGTTCAAATTTTCAATGCAATAGAGGGATATAAAAGGTATGTTTGAATTGGTAAAATGCGATGAAATGTAACGAACGAAATAAAATAGAGTAATATATAATTAAATTTTATTATTTAGATTTGGAACTAATTGATGGAGTGAAATGAAATATGATGGAATGCCATTATATTCCATTCAATCTTTTAAATTTTATTCCCCTCAACTTAGGATGCATGAAATGGAATGAACTAATTTGTTATGTTTTATTCCATTAAATTATAAAAAATATACAAACAATAGAATGAAATTTCTATTCTATTTCACTCTGCTATGCTTCATTCCATTCTATCATGTTTCATTCTGCTCCGCTTTATTTTAGTTCATCAATCCAAATAGAGTCAAAAGTCATCTCAAAAGTAAAAACAGATAAAAAGGCTTTAAAGTAAGTATTGTATATTACATATAATATTTTATGCTATGAGTATTATAGTTTGAGTGTAAAGTAAATTTCCATGAAAAGAAATTATTCATGCTTACATTTTCAAAGAGAATAGACATGAGGAGGATTTGTTCAAAGAGAAACTTTAAACATGAAAGTTGTAGATCTCCATGAGATCTAAAACATTTCTTTACACAAATTCTCCTATAAATTCTTGGATCTCAAGTTATTAATCCATGTAGTCATGGTCATGAAACTAAAACACTTAGTGAAATTTTGAGCATTTTTGGTCAGGATTTTGACCTAACTTCTTGGCCAAGTTTCACATAGTTCCACTTGGATTTTGCAAAAGTGATTCAAATATGGATTATATAGAACATTAAAAGCTTTCCAAAATGTCTAAGAACTCCTTGAGATCATTCTTGAGCAAGGAGAATCGAAGAGAGGAAGTTAGGGTTTCAAACTGAAATTATAGGTCATTTTTGTGATGAACAAGAATTCAAATCTCAAGCCTATGCTGCACAAACTTGCTTTGCAGGCCTCTAAACCTCAAAATCTCTCCCTAATCAGAAGATTACACTTGCTTTTGAGCTATTATCCATTTGATTCAAGCTTTATCCAAGTTAATTTTCCATTAATGGCACAAAGGCACCACTGCTATTTACATAAAGCAAGCTTTATGCAAAATCAACTTGCATTGAGCTTTGCACTTGTTCCTTCTACACAAGATTCCTCTACAAAGTCAGATAAGTATGTTTAAAGTTGGTAACCACTCTAGATAGCTTTGTACCTTGCCTTGAAACCATACTTGTCAAGCTTGCTTTAAAAACAAGTCAAAATCCGATAACTTGTGATCTTGTGATTTTGACCACCTCAAGTATCCAAACCTCTTGCTTATACATAAGGGCACTATATGCAAGCTAACCCATGAGCTTAAGCACCCTGAAATACTCCCAAACTCCCTCAAATCAGAAATTCCCCAAAAACTCCATTGTTGCATAGTTTCTGCCCTTGAACACCAAACTCATATTTCCCTCGTGCGTTTCTTGGCCTTTTGGTTCCTAAAGCTTCCTTACATCAAATACTACTCACCCTCATCCTCATTCCAGAACTATAACATCATTTGCACCATCTTCCATAACCAAAAAACAGAGTCTTCACATTGACTTCTCTAGACAATTTCAGCCATCCATTACTCAAGATAATTATTGCATTAGCTTCCTGGGACCTCAAGGAAGATAACCTGATCATCACTATCACTTGAAACAAGCTCAAACTCAAAACACGATTTCCAGTTTTGAGGTAAGTTTTCCTAACTTTGAACTCTTCATACAAGCATCATTAATGGTTTATTTGTGAATAAGAAATGTAGATATCATTGTCCTGAAGCTAACCATGTCCTTAGATTTAATTATTGTTGCTTGAGTAGTTAGAATTTTGAATCTGAACCTCTCAAAATATTTAGGTCAGGATTTGATACCATTAGAAATTCATGCTCATTTTTGAGAATTAGCTTAAGTTATTTACATATTCAGAATCGTGAGAAAATTTCTAACAAGTTTGATGTTGGAAGTTTTATGAATGGTTGAGAAATGATGAAGTTACAGGTCCTTTGGCTGGAGGTTGAAGATGAAGTGTATTCATAACTTATTTTGT